GGGCTTGGAGGCCGCAGAAGCGCCCATTCCGTTGTGAGAGGAGGGGCATCTGAGTGTACGTGGGGGAGCTGTGGGGCCCTCGGGGACCCTACGGACTCGGGGAGAGGCGGAGAAACTAAGTATTCTTGGGGAGGTGATATCGTCAGCGAAGAGCGAGCGAAGGACCCTACTCTGGGGAGAGGATGCCTTGGATTCTCCCAGTAAGGCCTGCCAAAGAGTTTGGGAGAGAAGAGCGGAGCTCAGGGCTGGACAGGGTGGGGCAGGCCTTTGGGCCTGGGGCCAGGGGCCCAGTGAGCCATGAGGGGTCCAGGAGTGCCCGCTTGCAACTTTTAGGAGGGATCTGTGAGCTCTCTCATCCCCACTGTGTGCTCTGGGCCTTTGTTCATCTGGGAAGAGCTCTCCTGCCCAGGTGCCTCGCCCTAACACCCGTGTCTGTCTCAGCCCTTCTTTCCGGTCTCTCCTATGACTCCCTCCTTCTCACTGTGTGTGCCTCACTGTACATCCTCCACTCACGTCCCACCCCCTGGACCTGTCTTGGGTTGAGGGAGCCCATCCTGGATAGGGGAGGATGAGAGGTCAGGGCACCTAGAATGGACAGGATTGAGGCAAGGGGAAGTCAGTGAGCGGTCAGTCTCTTCCTCTGTTTGTGAAGTCACTGAAGGGCTGCCTGGCTGGTCCCCAGCTTTCTCCCTGGAGATCCCAGGCCTTCACAGCAGGAAGGAACCAGCATTGTTTACGACTTGGCCAGAATCCTCTTTTGCTCCCTCCCCTCCCTGCTCAGGCCTGGGTGGGGCCCCCAGGCCTGTACTCCCCCTATGTAAGGCCACACCGACAGCATCTCTCTGGCCCCCTCAGCTCAGCTTATGACCACGTGCGCAAGACTCGCGTGGCCATCAAGAAAATCAGCCCCTTCGAGCATCAGACCTATTGCCAGCGCACACTGCGGGAGATCCAGATCTTGCTGCGCTTCCGCCATGAGAACGTCATTGGCATCCGGGACATTCTGCGGGCGCCCACCCTGGAAGCCATGAGGGATGTGTATCCTTCACCTTGGCCAGATGGCTGGCCCGGCATGGCCTCAGAGCTGGGCTGGGAGAACGTTGGCTTTCTTTCTGTTTCCTTCTTCCCTGCCACACTCCAAAACAAACCCAGTAAATGAAACTTTCCAGCAGAAAAGAGGCCACAGAGTGTAAGACGACTCGGAGGCCCGAGGTGGATCCTGGCCTGCGGCAGACAGGCTGTGTGGCCTTGGGCAAGTCTGTTCTCCATGCTCTGCCTCATTTGGAGGGGAGGGAGGGGAGGGCTGGGCTCTATGGGAGCTTTGTCTTTTGACATCTGCAGTTCTGTGACGTGATCCAGCCTCTGCCCACAGTCAGTTCTTGTTTAACAGACGATGATTCTTTTCTCTCTGGGTCCTCAGACGGGAAGGAAGGCAGGAAGGAAGAGAACTGCCCCTTTTTTGAGGGCCTACTATGAGTCAAGTGCAGTGCATACCCAGTACTTTGACATTTCTGGTTCTACCTCCCAACTGCTGTATGAGATGGGTCATCAGCTCCATTTCAAAGATGAGGAAACTGAGCCTCAGAAAGCCTAAAATCAAGTGCTACCCTTGCTGCCTCCTACCCTCCCCCAGATGAGAACTGTCCTTCTTTCTCTGGGACTTCCTGCTCAGAGCCTCACCCCAGTCACCTGTGGACTTGCACTTTGCCCAGGGAGGGACAGCCTTGCCTTTGTTGCCCTTCCCCCCACCCCCACATTGCTTTCCTAGCTCGCTGTCCACTTCCTGCCAGGCTCTGTTGTTAGCAGCTTGTAGCACCCATCACCTCTCCCCACCCAACCCACCCCCGGTTAGTCCCAGTTCCCCACTCAAATGTGGGGATTTGCGCTGCACTGTCTGCAGCCCCCACCACAAGCTGTGGGCAGGAAACCTCCACAGTCACCCCCAGCTTGCTGTGTGACCTTAAATCAGGCACTGCATCTTGCTGGGCCTCTTTGTCTCTTAAAACAGCAGGATTGATCCACATGTTTTCAGAAGGCCCTTTTGAGGCTGATTCTAAAAGACAGTCCTGAGGGTCATCTCGCTGAATCTTCATAACTACTCTCTGAAGAACCGTTCTTTCCCCTATTTTACAGATAAGGAATTAGAGGTGCAGCCAGGTTGAGGTCATAAGGCCAATGAGCAGTGGCATGGGGGTTTCAGACACCGGCAGGACAACTCCAGAGCATTGCTCTTGACTGTGAAGCTCTCCCGCCTCCTGCAGTTTATTATCCCCGTTTTCCCAGGAGGGAAACTGAGGCTACAGAATTGAAATACTTCTGCTCAGCGCTCCCAGCTGAGATGCGGCAGGGGGCCCGAGCCCAACTGCTGAGTCTGGGCCTTGTCCAGCTCGTGATAAGGGCTGGCAGATCTTTCGAGTCCTAGCTGGAAGGGGACGTAGAGCCTAGTCACCAGAGCCTGTTCTTCTTAACCAAATATCTCCTGCTGCCCCCACGTGGGGGGTCTCCGGTGCCATCTTCAGCTACATTGTGCAGGACCTGATGGAGACAGACCTGTACAAGTTGCTCAAAAGCCAGCAGCTGAGCAACGACCACATTTGCTACTTCCTCTACCAGATCCTGCGGGGCCTCAAGTATATCCACTCAGCCAACGTGCTCCACCGGGATTTAAAGCCCTCTAACCTGCTCATCAACACCACCTGCGACCTTAAGGTCAGAGGATTAGGTACCTGTCCCTTCTTCCCATGGGTCTGGGGCTTCCAGGCGGCCATTCCGGCCCGCTTGAGTAGAACATCGCAAGCAGAGGGAACATTGTGGGCAGAGGCGTGGTGAGGTGACCGCTTGGGCCTTGGAGGCCTTAGGCACCGAGCTTAGCAGCCTGGGTTGGCTTCCAGATCTGTGATTTTGGCCTGGCCCGGATTGCCGATCCTGAGCATGACCACACTGGCTTCCTGACAGAATATGTGGCCACACGCTGGTACCGGGCTCCAGAAATCATGCTTAACTCCAAGGTAAAGGGGCCACCCGTGCCTGAGGGAAAGGGACCAGGTTCCAGAGAGCTCTAGAGCCACCTCTGAGCCAGGCATGACCCCTAGATACAGGAAGTCTGCCCCCAGGCCTAGTCACATGACTCTGGTGCTTAGGCTCTGGAAAGAGGCTGAGCATTAACTCCTCCAGGCCTGTGCCCTCTGCCTCCGTGGCTGGTATTAAGTCTAGACTGGAGTCGTGGCTTGGCCCAAATAGCAGGGCCCTGCTGAAGCTGGCCTAGGAGCCCACTACTTTCTCCTCCTCCCCAGGGCTACACCAAGTCCATCGACATCTGGTCTGTGGGCTGCATTCTGGCTGAGATGCTCTCCAACAGGCCCATCTTCCCTGGCAAGCACTACCTGGACCAGCTCAACCACATTCTGGGTGAGGGGGGCCTGGCCAGCTGAGTGGGGGTGGGGGGAGATTAGTGGGAGGTGAGATTTCTTTATAGTTCAGGTACCACCACATGTGGAGCCCCTACAGCATCTCACAGTATTTCGATGAGATACAGGTACTATCCCCATTCGATAGATGGGAAAAGCAAGGCTACAGCCCACACTTAGGAAGTGCTAACATCAGAATTTGAACATAACGACTGCCCAAATCCAGATCCCTTGCCCTTCATCACCATAGTATTGGCTGAGAGATTAACTGTCAGGGCCTAGAGCTCGATGGTGGGGACTCTAGTTTCTCTAGTTTCTGTTCCCAGAAGGGAGAGGAGAACTCTCAAAAAGGCACCTGCCTTACCCACAGGGATCCTGGGCTCCCCATCCCAGGAGGACTTGAATTGTATCATCAACATGAAGGCCCGAAACTACCTACAGTCTCTGCCCTCCAAGACCAAGGTGGCCTGGGCCAAGCTTTTTCCCAAGTCAGATGCCAAAGGTGAGAGAGACATGGGGGTCGGTATGGGGTAAAAACACAGTGCAGAGGAGGGAACATGAGCCAAGCTCCTGGCTGAGTAGACAGAAACCTGGGTATGAGAAGCAAAGCAATGCTTCTGGGAACTCTTCCAGCCTCCCTTTTGACCCCTGACTCTTGCCCTTATCTAGCCCTTGATCTGCTAGACCGGATGTTGACCTTTAACCCCAACAAACGGATCACAGTGGAGGAAGCACTGGCTCACCCCTACCTGGAGCAGTACTACGACCCCACGGATGAGGTGGGCCAGCCACCAGCAACAGGGCTGGTGGGTGGATGGATGGGTAGGCGACCCTCAGTACCCAGCCTGAGCCTGACTTCTTTACTACCCCAGCCAGTGGCCGAGGAGCCTTTCACCTTTGACATGGAGCTGGATGATCTACCCAAGGAGCGGCTGAAGGAGCTCATCTTCCAGGAGACAGCCCGCTTCCAGCCTGGGGCACTGGAGGCCCCCTAAACTGGACAGACACCTCTGCAGTTTGAGGCCTGGTGAGTGCTCCCCACAGCCCACGCACAGATTCAGCCTACGCCAGTGCTCCCGGCACGCCTCCATATAGTCACAAGCTTGTTCACGCCAATGAGGCATGTGCATGGTGGCCACAGAAAGGCTAGAGCCTGCCCGGGCCACAGACCTGGGGGCCACAGGTTCTTTACATCCATCTTCCTTTCCCCTAGTCCCAAAGTCTCCCCCCTGGGCAACACCCTGCACCCTCCAGCCCCCTCAGGGACCTCAGGCCCCTCTCTCCCATCTGAGGGACAGCCAGAGCTCGGCTCTCCTGGTATGGGCAGAGAGGCAGGTGGGGCAGTAATTGCTTTGGGAGGAGCCAGCACCCGGCCTGACCCAGATGCCAGGCTTCCTCACACCTGGTGCCCGGGTCAGCGGTTTGCACACCCACCCACGCAGGGCTCCTTCCTCGAGTCTCCTTTCCACCTTTCCTGCCAGCCGCAGCTTGATGGAAGGAAGGCACACACACCTGGGCTCAGATTCCAGCCCTGCCCCTTAGTAAGAGCAGTGTGATGTTGTGCAAGATACCTCACTTGTCGGTGCCTCAGTTTCCTGGGGAGAGCCCTGATGATGAGAGCAAACATAGGGCACTAATCATTGGTCCGAGAGGCTTATGTGTATTAACGCATTCAGCCCTCCAGCTGTCCCTTGAGATAGGCACCGATGTTATCCTCATTCGCAGTCAAGGAAAACAAGACACATCCCAGTCAGCCGTGAGGAACAAATGAGGGGACTTGAGGTCAGGGCTCTGGCAGGTCATCTGGTGGGTGCTAATGGCTCCTTTCCTGCCTGCCTTTCTGTTTAGGCCCTGCCTCCTGCCTGCCCCTCCCCTGCTGGACTGTTAGAAAATGGACACTGTGCCCCGCCCAGACCCCCCCCGGCAGACCGGGTCAGGGCGGAGGGCGGGCCTGGCCACCTTCCCTGATTTTGCTCTGGCCTCCTGCTTCAGGCAGGCCAAGGTTCCCTCCGCCCCACCCCCCTGTCCCTCCCAGGACCTGAGGGGCTTAGGTGGCCCCCCACGCAAACTACCCTCTGCAGCTTGCCTTTGTCTACCCCGGCTATCCCAGTCTCTGGTAGTTCTGGAATGGAAGGGCTCTGGCTGTCCCAGGACCTCCTGAAGGGCAGTGAGGGGATGGGGGACGCTGAGTAAGGGACTCAGGGCAAGCCCTGACCCACTAAAACCCCGCCCCATTTTCCCCGAAGGAATATTCCTGAGGCTCAAGGGCTAGTATCCCTGAGGAGCAGGGCCCAGGCCGAAACCCCCTCCCCCAAAGCTGCCACATCTAACACCCCCTGCTGCCTGTGTGTGTGGGCGAACAGAAGTGGGGCTGGGGGCACGAGGAGAGCCTGGTGCCCCTGCCCACCCCTGTGCCTGTATCTAATATATAAAGATAGAAACGTGTATATGATGGCCCTGGCTCTGTCTGTATCCGCCGATGCCCTACCCTAACCATTACTTTGAGGACTGACTCGCCTGCCCAGCCCCTTCCCAGCGGGGTGGCTTTCCCCAGTCCTGGTGCTCCTTGGCTCCCCGGGTGGCCAGGGTTGAAGATGGGAGTGTAAGGAGCGCCAGACTCCTGGACAGAGTGGGGTCAATTTTCCCCTTAGTCACTGTTCTCTCCCCTCCCAAATGGCCTCCCATCTCGCTGGCTGGGGTGATTCGGGGGTGACTCAGGGACATCCTACACACCCCTGGATTCTCTGGAAATGGCAAGGGGTGGTGTGCTGTATACCCCGGCCACCAGCACCCATGGGAGGGTGGAAGGTTGTAGCAGACCCAGCGCTTGGGGTGGGGGTGGGGGTTGTTTCCCCAGCATGGCCGAGGAGAGAGGGGTGCTGGGGTCCGTGGAGGATCTAGAGGCGTGAGAGCCAGAGCTGCCGGGCACCTCTCCTGCCTGTACCCCCTCCCCGGCTGAGCCCTGCAGCCTGGCCCCAGGCCAAGAGCCGGCTCAGCAGGTCCCAGGGGTGTGGTGGCTACCAGCGGTGGAGCCAGCCTACGCTGGCCAGGCAATCAGCAGAGGCAGCACAGTCCATCAGGAGCAGCCGAGTGTGTGGCAGCGGGAGCCCAGAGAGGCAGCGTGACCATGAGCTCTCTGCTCTCCTACGCCCTGCCCGCCCTGGGCAGCTATGCCATGCTGTCCATCTTCTTCCTGCGCCGGCCTCGCCTGCTGCACACACCCTGGGCTCCAGTCTTCCTGCCACGCCTGGGGGCCCACCGAGCAGGTACGCTGGGCGGCGGTTGGGCGGGAGGATGGTGATGGTGACTGCTGAGGGTGGAGTAAGGACAGCAAGGTGCCAGCAAGGGTGGACGGCAGTGGGGGAGGTCCAAGCAGCGGGCTGTCAGGAAGAGGGCAGAGCCTGAGGTAGGAGAGCGGGACGGCAGGGAAGGACGTGGAAGGGGGAAGAAGAGGCAGGGGTGAGGGGAGAGGAGGGAGGCCAGGCTCCTGGGACCCACCCAGCTGCCCCACACAGGATCTGGAGAACTACTGGAGAACACCATGGAGGCCATGGAGAAGTGAGTGCACCTGCCAGCTGTGAGCTGCGAGACACCAGGAGGCGCCACTCACTTCCTAGTCTGAGTGACCGGGGCCCTCTGGAGGTGTGCAGTGCACAGCCTGCCCATCCTGCCGTGAACTCTGGCCCACGCTCCCCTAAACCTCCCCGCTGTCCTGTGGTTTGTCCTGTTCCTTCCCCCGGGCCTCTCTGCACTGACCTTCACTCCCACAGCTCCCTGGCCCAGCGATCAGACTTCCTGGAGCTTGACTGCCAGTTGACACGAGATGGCGTGGTGGTGGTATCTCACGACAAGAACCTGTCCCGCCAGTCAGGGGTGAATAGGGACGTGAGCAGCCTGGACTTTGAGGTGGGCCTTGCCCCAGCACCCCCCTCACTCTACCCAGAGAGCCACGGTGCCTCCACGCGTGCCCCCTGGTGACGTGCTCCCTCTTCTCCCCAGGAGCTGCCCCTCTACAAGGAGGAGCTGGAGGTCTACTTCTCACCAGGTGAGAGTGTGACCTCACAAGTGGGGTCCTGGCCTCAACCTCCTGCCCTCCCTTCTCCTCTGGGACTGGTCCCCCTCCCCCTGGGCTCCCACCCCGCCCATCCCCCTCTGATCCCTCTTGCCACAACACACCCAGGTCGCTTTGCACACGGGTCGGACCGGCACATGGTGAGTCTGGAGGACGTGTTCCAGAGGTTCCCTCGGATGCCCATGAGCGTGGAGGTCAAAGAGGAAAACGAAGAGCTCATTAACAAGGTGGTGCTGCTGCGGGGCTGGGGTGGGAAGGGACCCGGGGCTGGAGAGAGGCCTGACTCCCCTTCACCTCTTCCTTCTCCTCCTCCCAGATAGCAGGCCTGGTGAGGCACTTTGACCGAAATGAAATCACTGTCTGGGCCACGGAGAAGAGCTCGGTCATGAAGAAGTGCAGGGCTGCTGTGAGTCCCTGCTCCCTCCCTGCTCCAGCGACCCCTTCTCCCAGGCGCTGGAGGCTCCAGGGGCCTAGGCTGGACAGGTGTGGGGTGTTGTGGAGGAACCAGCCCTGAGCAGAGTCTCAAAGGGTAGGATGCCGAGAGGAGAGGGGTGGGGACAGGGGGAGCACAGGCATTGCTGCTGGAGACCCAGAGGGTGCGGTCAGGCCTGAACGCTGGGCCGACATACAGCTCCGATCCCGCAGGTGGTGGACCTTCCTGAATGTCCAGCGCTGTTTCCCCTGCAGCCTAAGTCCCCTTTCTGCTTTCCTGGGAGCAGACTGACCCTCTTCTCCCTTCCCCTTGCCTCCCAGAACCCCGAGATGCCGTTCTCCTTCACCATCGGCCGAGCTATCTGGTTGTTACTGCTCTATTACCTGGGGTTGCTGCCCTTTGCATCCATCCCGGAGAGGTTTTTCTTCTGCTTCCTGCCCACCATCATCAATAGGTACCTGCAAGGTCCCTGCCTGCCTTCTACATCCTCCCCCAGGCCCCCAGATGCTTTTGTCCTCAAATAAACTCCCCCCACTTCAAGCCCCACTACATGGGGTCCCCAGCTCCCTGGCCACCCTCAAGGATCCCCCCAGGGTCCCCTGAAGAGAAGGATTTTCAGGAGCATTTATGAATACTGAGGAGCCAGGAGGCTTCCTCTTCGAACCCTTTGAAATTCTATGCAAATGTGTGTTGATGTGGATGGGTTTGAGGACAGAGTATTCATGTATTCATCCATTTCATCCAACAAATATTTATTGAATGTCTCCTCTGTTCTGGGCACAGTGACACTAGTAAATAAACCCAGTGTGAGTGGACTAAGGCCCTCGGTGAGCTTATAGTCTGGCTGGGAGACAGATATCAATCAATTATAGTATTCTCTGATTCTCAAAAGGAAAAGCAAGTTTTTTCCTGCTGGGAGAGTGGGATTAACAAAGCAACAGCTGGGTAAAGTATCAGAAATGTGGATACTTCACCAGCTCTGAAGCCTGGCCCCTCCCTTCCCTTTCTGAGAACTCTGTGGCAGCTCCTAGGCTTCCTTCTCCCCTATGTTATCCTGAGGGAAGCTCTCAGCCAGCCCCCACAATCTCTTGCTACAAAGACATCATTAGACTACTGAACTTTGTGTACAGACCTTCTCATACAGTGTTTGCAAAGTGTTTTCACATCCTTTGGTTGGTTAGAGCTTTATCTGTGCAACCCAGAAGGTACTAGAATCATGACACCGCCCCCTCAGTACCCATGGAGAATCTGAGGCTCAGAGAGGTTCTGTAATTTGCTCAAGGCCACACAGCTAGAAGCGCAGGGCCTGGGTTTGTCTGGGTCTGACCCCAAAACCTGTGCTGGGACATTGTAAAGGGCCTCTAAAGTCATCCCCGAAGCGGGCCAATCATGGGCAAGTAGCCGACTCACTGGAGTATTGTCTGGTCACAAGAAGCTGGTCGGGCCCAACCAGGGGACCTTTAGATTGTGCATCTAGCTTGAGAATCAAGCTGGGTTCTGGTCTTGGCCCTGACCCCACCACAGATTTGCTGCGACACCTTGGGCAAGTCACTTTAGCTCTCCAAAACTGAGTTACCTCCTCTGTACAACAGCGAGGGAGGGCACACTCTCAAAGTATGGAGGCACAGATGTGCACATAGAAGAATCTCACTAAACAACAGGTGACTTTTTCATACGGGCTTCTAGAGGCGCCAGGGTAACACCGGTCAGGGGTCACTACCACCCCACTCCTGTGACAGAGTGAGACGCAGGGGGCTGATCATGATTCCACCTCTCTGCAGGACCTACTTCCCATTTTCCTGCTCTGGGCTGAACCAGCTGGCAGCCGTGATTTCCAAATGGTGAGGGGGTGAGGATGCTGGATGGCGTGTCCCCGTGGAGACCTGCCGCTGCCCTTCTTAGTCCCCTCTCATCGTGGCCTTTGCCACCCTCTCCCCACTAGGTTAATCATGAGGAAAAGTCTGATCCACCATCTGGAGCAGCGAGGAGTGCAGGTGAGGCTTGACCACCACGCCCTCAGCAAGTGGGTGATTCACAGTGTGGGCCTAGCACAGCGTTCCAGTGAACAGCTCTGCTACCGATTAACCGGGTCCCCTGGGCAGGTCACCTTCGGAGTCTCAGTCTCTTGATTTGTGAAATGGGGGTGATGGTACATTTAACTGGTACCTAGTAATGGCTTGACAAGTGTAGCCATTATCATTGAACCTACTGTCCTGATTCCTGAGGAGGGGGTGAGTGGGGCTGGGGAAAAAAACCGGCCCGGCCCCTCCCCTCCCCTGAGCATCCACTTTGATCATTTAATTAGCAAACCTTTGTTGAGAATGGACTACCTTCCAGGCACTGTGGTACCAGGGGCGGAGCAGGGAGTCAAATCAGGGGCAGAGGAAGGAAACGGGCACTCACAGGCACCAAGTGGACAGAGAGGAAACAGCGCCGTGGTCTGTGGGGTCACAGGAGGCCCTCTGGAAGAAATGAGGAGCTGGCTCGCACGGAGGGGGAAAGGAGAGCATCTCAGGCAGGCTCAGCCTGTGGGAAAGCTGCGGGGAGCAAGAGGCCACGGCGGAAGGAGGAGGAGCTGAGAGAGGTGCCACCAGGCCGCGGTGTGTGGCGAGGGGAGCTGGAGGAGGCGGCCTGGGCTGAGGCAGGCGGCCTGTGAACCTCAGTAAGGAACCTGGACTTCAGCCTGGAGGAGGGGAAGCTTTGGAGGGCCTGAAGCAGGGCAGAGACCCGATCCAGTGGAGTCTGGGATTAAGGGTCACTCTGGCCACCGATGCGGAGAAGCGATCATGGGCGCCAGTGTAGGAGCAGAGAATCCCGGGAGGCAGATGCCGTCGCTGACTGGTCCTGGGCTGAGGCGTCAGCAGTGGGATGGGTGGACCAGCTGGCTGACGGGCCAGCAGCACTCCACAGCGCCGAGGTGGGGGTGAGTGAGGCATGGGGAGGACGCGCCTCTTTTAGATTAGCACCTCCACAGCGCCTCCACTCTGTGGGCCTTCACCACGACTCTGGAGGTTGGCCCATCGTTCCCATTTGTCACGTTAAGAAACTGAAAGGTCCGGTGACTTGCCCAGGGTACAGACACCATCTCTACCTACCGCCACGCCCACGAGAGAGGATTCAGGCGGCAGGACAGACACAGAGCAGCAGCAGATTCAGGCAGGCCTGGAGACCTCACAGCCGGCTTTCCAGGGGAGGGGGAACAAAATGCTCTGATTTGAGCAATAGACGATTTATTTCCCTGGTTGTGCATCCTCTCACCTTGTCCGATTTCAGGCCACCAACGTGAAGTCACTGAGCACAGAGTTGGGTAGTATTTCCACCTTACACATTCAGCAGATGCGAACAACCGCCAGAGCGTAGGTAACAGTAAAATGTAGTAAAATCATTAGGAAGTGATGAGTTTTGAGTATTTATTACCTTCGTTTTTAAAGTAATTTATTGAATTACACGTTTATATAATTTAATATTTAATAATGGCTGTGTTTAATAACCAGTTTGCAAAAAAATCCGGACTAACAATCCACTCCAGCATCCCACTGCTGGGAGGTCTCCGCAGAGGAGGAGAGCTCCCACCATCTGGATTCAAGGGGAAACTCCAGGTAAAGTTGTTTGAAACTATGAGCCCCTCCCTCCCCACGCAGGTGGTCTTTTGGTGCCTTAATGAAGAGTCGGATTTTGAAGTGGCCTATGGCCTGGGGGCCAGTGGCGTCATGACAGATTACCCCACAGCCCTGAGGAGCTACCTGGACAACCATGGAGGAGCTGCCCAGGCCTCCTAACAGCCCGCAGGCCCTCACCCTCTCCTCTATTTCTCTTCTTCAATAAATATTTTCTTTTCAGTCATGTGGTGGTGTTTGGGGGGCATGGGTGGGAGGAGGTCCTAGCAGACTGCAGAGGGCAACTTAGGGCAGAAGAGGCCAGCCTAGGGCCAGAGTCTGGGGCCCTAACCACCTTGACCCACTGGTTCCACCACATTCCAGGCCCAGTAATGCCACACCCTGTGCCAACCTGGCCTCCACTCTCCTCAGGAATGTCCCTTGCAGGAAGGAGCAAGGCTCCTGCCCCTTCAGGGCCACAGGTTCCATTCTCTTGAGGCTATGAAGAGCCTTAAGACACAGGCACAGGACAAGGGACTTCATCCGCTCTTGGCGCCGCAGATGGTGGACATGGCCTCAGAGGCTGAGTTTAGGGTTTGCTCATCTGCTGCTTCAGCCTTTCCAACCTTCACTTCCAGATCTACTCCAGAAGTTCCCCAAACTCCTCAACCCTCTCCAACCCTAGAACCTTATGCATTGAACGAATCACATGGTTCACAAACCTTTGTTGACTACTCTAGGCCAGGCTAGGTACTGGGGCCACTGCAGGGAACAAGACAAAGTCTCCTAGGGCAGACGCACACATTTTCCCCTTCAGAGACATGTGAGAAGCCCACAGCAGACCCCTAACTCAGCCTGCAGAGGCAGGGGCATCAGAGGAGGCTGCCTGGAAGAGGTGATGCTCAGCAGTAGGAACTGGCTTGTTCCCAGGCTCCGGCTCCCAGAGATCTAACACAGACGGACGGGCACCGTTAGCTCTTCCGTTCCAAGAGCCTGTCCCGGGTGCTATGGCAAAGACGGTGGAATCGGACCAAAGTGAGAATTCCAACTTTGCCTCTTCCCGGCTGGATAACCTCGGGAGCGTAGGTAGACCTCTTTGACCTCTGTTCCCTGTAAAATGGGGAACAAAAGCTGCCTCATAGGATTGCTGCGGGGATTAAGAGAGTGGGGCACCGGGTGGTTAAATGCAGATAATTATGGCTATTATCTCCCCGGGGACGTGCGTCCAGACACCTAACCCCGAGCCCGGTCTGGCACCGCAGATCCTCGCCCCTTCAAGGACCGCGGGAGGCCAGAAGGGCGACGAGACCCGGGCCGCGGGGCTGTCTGGCTGGCTTGCGGGCCGCAGCCGCATTTCCGGGCCGGCCGGAGCCCGGAGCAGGGGGAAGGGCAGCTGAGGCCTGCGCTGGCCGCGGTGTGACGCGCCCCCTCATTTGCATGCGGCGCGCCGATTGGCCACGGCGGCCGCCGGGACCAGAGGCCGGCCCCCTCCCCCTCCCGCCGCAGCGGCGGCAGCAGCTGGTCTCGGTGTAAACAAGTCGCGGCGGCTGCGAACCCGGGCCGGGGGGGACGGCGCCCACCAGGAGCGCCCCCCACTCCCAGGCCAGGCCACCTCGGCGGACCGGGCCCCCGCGCGCCCAGGCGAGGTGAGGCCCGCATCGTCAGGGCTGCGTGTCGCCCCGAGCCCCCGCCCCGCCAGCGAGGACTGCCCCCTTCCCCCGGCGTCCGCCCCCCACCCCCGCGCCCCAGGTGAGCCCCGGGGTCTCAGGTAAGGCTCCGCGATGCAGGTAAGAGCCCCTCCCCTCCTAGGTGACCCTCCACCTTCAGTGAGGGCCTCTGCCTCTTCCAGGTGAGGGACCCTCTCCCCAGGTGAACTCCCTTGTACCTCAAGTGGAGCTGCTAACCCCCCACCCCGCCCCGCCCCGCCCTTGGCAGTTCAGGTGAGGTCCTAAGGACCCTCCAGCTCCTAACCCCTCCATACTCCCCCTAAATGAGAACTGACAGCTCATCCAAGCCAGAGCCCCTTCCTCCAGCTTCAACTGCCAGGTCCGCAGGGGTGAGGCCGGAATTAGATGCGTGACTCACCTCAGGCTTCTCCAAGCCTCAGTTTCCCCGTGATGCAACTTGAGGCCTCCTCAGTGAGTCAAAACTGAGCCGGTTCCGGCCCCTGGAGAAGCTGCTGCCTCTGGGGAGAGGAGACAGCAGCCAAGTGTGAGGGAGAGAGTCCCCATGGCCCTGGGTGTGCCCGCGTATGTGTGGCCCTGGTCCTGACAGCCCACTCCCTCCCCGGCAGGCACTGGGCTCCCTCTGCTCCCCGTGGGCCGCTCCCCGGGTGGGGCCACTGCCCCCGGCCCCCGCCATGGTGCGTATTTCAAAGCCCAAGACGTTTCAGGCCTACTTGGATGATTGTCACCGGAGGTATAGCTGTGCCCACTGCCGCGCTCACCTGGCCAACCACGACGACCTCATCTCCAAGGTAACCAGGTCCCAGTTGGAGGCGAGAGGGGCTACCTGGCAGCTCTCCCACCAATGGCCCTGACTCCCTTCCTTTCTCCCTCCACCCTTTAGTCCTTCCAGGGCAGTCAGGGGCGTGCCTACCTCTTCAACTCTGTGTGAGTATTTGGTCCCCCTTCTTTCTTTCCCTGACCTCTGTTGTGACCTGTGACCCCTGGCATCGTGCTGAGACTCCCAGAGTCCCCTGATTCAGGTTGGAAGCTGATGTGATCGCCCTTCTCTTGGATGCTAAGAACAGACACAGTTGGATACAAGCTAGCGGGGGGCTTTGTGATGGCGGGACCCTCCCTGGGACTGCCCCCATGTCCCTGCAGGGTGAACGTGGGCTGCGGGCCAGCCGAGGAACGGGTACTGCTGACAGGCCTCCATGCTGTGGCTGACATCCACTGCGAGAACTGCAAGACGACTTTGGGCTGGAAATATGTGAGTCCGTGACCCCTGACCCCAGGCAAGCCTTTGACCCAACCTCACTTCACCTCCTCCTCACAAGCAGTCATCTGGTAACCTTCCGGAGTGTACAGGCCCAGCTCACTCAAGTCAGACTGTCTTTTCATCCCCTGACCATGCCCTCTTCTGTCACATCTTGCAAGGGCTTTTAGAATTTTTCTCTCCCATCCCTCACGTGCACATGCGTCCCATTTTAGAGATGAGGCGATCAGCAGAATGACCATTTATTGAATGCTTACGTGCCACGCGTTGTTATGTGCTTGGCATATATTATCTCATTTCATTGTTACAACAATCCTGTGGGTAGAGTCTGTAATTATCTCCACTTTACAGAAGAAAGGAAGGCCCAGAGATGGTAGGTAACTTTCCCAAGGTCACACCACGGGTAAGGAACAGAACAGGTACCAGAGTCCTGGTTGCGTGTTTTGTTGTCTGTCTGTTTTTAACTCCAGATCCTCGGCCACCGGCTTCCATTGTCATTCAGAGGTTCAGAGAAGTTGCCCCAGACCCCACAGTGACATGGAACTTGGGTCCATGAACTTCCTTTTCACTGCCCTCATGGCCACAGCTGCTATCCGGGGTCTGATTTCACTACCTGAGTCTCATTTCCTTATCTGGCTGTGGAGGATGAAGCCACCACCTGGCACCCAAAATTGTCATGGGGATCAGATTAGATGCAGCAAAAAAAGATGCTCTTGGGAAACTGTAGGGGACATGGTTGGTTCCTCAGGCTTCACTTGGAGTTTTGGTGCCTCTGAGAGGTGGATGCCCCCAGCAGAGGCAGGCATCCTGCCCTCATGTGAGTTCACCCCTGGCCTTGCCACAGATTTGTGCTTTGTGTCCCCGGACAGGTGGCTCAGCCTCTCTGGACCTCTGTAAAATAAAGAGATGGCTGGGGCGCCTGGGTGGCGCAGTCGGTTGGGCGTCCGACTTCAGCCAGGTCACGATCTCGCGGTCCGTGAGTTCGAGCCCCGCGTCGGGCTCTGGGCTGATGGCTCGGAGCCTGGAGCCTGTTTCCGATTCTGTGTCTCCCTCTCTCTCTGCCCCTCCCCCGTTCATGCTCTGTCTCTCTCTGTCCCCAAAATAAATAAACGTTGAAAAAAAAAAATTTAAAAAAAAAAAAAAAAAAAAAAAAAAAAAAGAGATGGCCTAATCCAGATGTCAAAAACTCAAGGGTTTGCAGGGCCAAGCGCATACTGTGGCTCTGCAAAAGAGGCACCATAGATCTGGGGTAGTGGGGGAGGAGGGTCTGTAGCAAACTGGTGTAAGCATGGCCTGCCTATATCCTAGTATTTTTAAGTTATTTTTACTAAACTCTCTGATGGCCAAATAAAACACCTGCATAGGCCAAAATTGCCCTTCAGGCTACCAGTTTGTAATCCCCGGATCTTTTAGAAACTTCCATATCCTCTCTGTTGGAGCCAACATTAGTACTTAAAAAGTACCGGTGATTCAGAGAGCTCTGTCTGTCCCATTAGTGAGAAACCTGGCTCTGTCATTTACCAGCTGTGTGTCTTGTGGGCAGGTGGTTTGGCTTCTCTGCATGACAGTTTCCTTATATGTAAAATGGGGCCAGTCATATCTATTCCCCAACCCGATCCCTTTTGGTAAAGCCCTTGCTCCAGAGATGCCGTCCTCTCCCCTCTTTTCAGGAACAGGCCTTCGAGAGCAGCCAGAAGTACAAAGAGGGGAAGTACATCATTGAACTCAACCACATGATCAAAGACAACGGCTGGGACTGACCCCTGCTCCTGCCGCATGTGGCTCGAGCCCGGCCTGACCGCCAGGGGGCGCCACTGGCTTCCCTCCACGAGAAGGGAGCTCTGGACCCTCAGGGCTCCTGCAGAGGACGGATCCAGCTCCTGTACATATATTTTATTGCATGCACTGTGACCTTGGGGGGAGCTCAGAAGGAGGACGACACCCCCGCACTTCCCTGCGATCTGGCTGGCTTGGATCTCGTTTTTAACCCCTTCCTGCCCCGCCTGCCCTATAGATATGGCCTGTGTGCTGCTCTCCTGCCCCCAGTGCACCGTCTGCCCTGTGAACTTCTCCCACCGGGCCCCTTTTACCCCACGCGTGTCTGCTCCCCTTGTTCTGTAGCGTTTGTACATAATAAAACAATGGAGTGGAGACAGCCCCAGGCTCACGTGGAATCCGGGAAAGGGGGACTCAAATGCAGATTCCTTCCTCCGTCGACCTGTTCTTTTCTGGGCCCCCACACGGCATGAAGTAGGCACTGCGGTCAAAGCTGGGAGTCTGCCCTCCGGAGACTCAGCCATCTGAGACCCGGGACCGATCTCACTGTCCGTGCAGATTCCCGAGCCCACTCTGGCTCCCTAGGCCTTGACCTCGGCTGATCTGCGCCTTCTCAGCTTTAGCGTTTTGCCGCCGCCTAGGGGCGAGCTCTCCTGGGAGGCAACCGCGCAGCCGGCTTCACCGCCCCTCTCGCCGCCACTACAACTTCCAGCGGCCCCAGCCGCGTCCATCCGTCTCCTCCGCACCGAGTCTCGGCGCTGCGCCTGCTGGGAAGCGTAGTTCCGAGGGTTCCCCAGCGCGGGACCTTCTGGGAAACCCAGGCGCCAGCCGTCAGTGGCTGTCGAGCGGTGGGTGCTTTGGCACCTCGGAGACTCGGCGGAGGGTGGAGGTTTTTCAGAATGGGAACCAGGAAGGACTACAGGGTTCAGGCCTCGGCTGCGGAGTCCTCGAGGTCCCCAGTGCCCCGCGTAACAATAAGCTCAGGCCGCGTCCCTCCAGCCCTGCTCTTTCCCTCAGGTCATGCTTCATCCCTTCCAAGCTCTGGCCTCCAAGTGAAGGGGGATGGGGGTCACCTGCTAGAAAAGTGTGGGGCGCCAAGGTCTGCCCCGGGACTCTATGGACTCCATCCCAGGGTCCAGGCCCCGCCCCTCAGTAGCTTATCCCTAGCCGGGGCTCCCCCCGTGGGAACGGGGACCAGCTGGCCGGAAGCGCCAAACTGCGTCCCTGTCGAGCCCCGGGGATCAATCAGGCCGAGGAGTTAATTATGTAATGAGGGGGCAGGGGGTCGGGGCTAATGAAGCCTGGGGTGGGGGGAGAGAAGGGGAGGGTACCCAGGTATCCGGCCCCCTCTTGGACCCCTTCCAGGCCCCAGGGGTCTCCACCCAGCCCAACTCCAGGGCCCCAAATAGGGGAGGGGCTGTGATCCTGGGTCTGGAAGGGGCTGAGCTGTGAGCTATAAAGGGGGCATCTCTCAGCACCCGGGGACTCTAGGCAGCGTGACCTGAGGCCAGACAGGACTACTCCATGTACCATCCACGAGAGTTGTACCCCTCCCTGGGGACAGGCTACCGCCTTGGGCCCCCCCAGCCGGGAGCAGATTCCAGCTTCCCTCCTGCTCTGGCAGAGGGCTACCGCTACCCTGGTGAGCATGGGAGCCATCTCCGGTGTAGAGGCCGTGGGGGGCTGTGGCCCTCTGCTGGCTCTCATTCCTCCCCCATCTCCAGATCTGGACACTCCCAAATTGGATTGCTTCCTCTCCGGGATTGAGGCTGCTCCCTGCACCTTGGCCGCTCCCCCACCCCTGCCCCCGCTGCCCCCAGCCCTGGGCACTGAGCCGGCCCCCCCAGCCCCAGACGCCCTTCATTCGCTCCCTGGAGTCAGCCTGAGCCTGGAGAACCGGGAGCTGTGGAAAGAGTTCAATTCCGTGGGAACAGAGATGATCATCACCAAAGCTGGGAGGTGAGGGGCTGGGCCAGGGTCAAAGGGCCCAGTGTGCTCCTGGTGGGGGTCTTTTGGGAAAGGCAGAGTTCCTGGTGAAGGGACTAGGTTTGGGGGTTCCTAGAGGGTCTAGAGCGCTGCCTAAGTTCAGGGTGTGATTGTGGCCTGGGTCACAGGTTACTCTACGGCGGGATCAGGGGTCATTCTGTGGCAAAGGTCAAGGGTCAGTCTGTGGAATCTGTAGCTGGTTTAAGGACCAACCTACGGCAAGGGTCCTAGGTCAGTCTGGGCCTGGGTCAGAAAGTCTGGCTGGGTTATAGTATAATTCATATGTGGCCCAGATCAGGGGTCAGTCTGTGACTGGAGCCAGGGTTCAGACTACGATTGGGGTCAAGGGCCAGCCAGTGACCAGCATTCAGAGAAATCTGGCCAGGATCAGGGTCAGTATGTGACTAGGTCTGGGGTTGCCCTGGAGGCATGGCGTGTGGCCTGTGAGCCAGGAGCTCGGGCCTGAGCCTGGTAAGTCCTCGGTCCCACTGAAGGCAGGACACTGTTTTCCTGAAGCAGGTGTGTCCAGCAGTGTAGACTGTGGTGCTGGAGACTAGGTGAGGAGACCAGAGTGGGGAGCGGTAGGCTCTTGGCAAGACTTTAGGGACAGAAGCGTGTCACCACTGCTTCTGCAGATGGAGTTTGAGGGCTTAGGAGTCCAGAGTCTGGCTCTGCTCCTAATCTGTGTGACCCTGGTCAGATCACCTGTCTGTCCCGTCACTTCCGGCTCAAAGACCCTGCCCTCTGGATTCTAATTCCACCTCTCTCAACGTTTCTCTGACGAAACTGGGTGAGCGCCGGTGGTGGCTGCGCCCACCCCTGGCCGGCGGGTCGCGCCAGGCCTCTCCCATCCCCTCCCCTGTCCAGGCGCATGTTCCCTGCTTGCCGAATATCAGTCACTGGGCTGGACCCCGAGGCCCGCTACCTGTTTCTCCTGGATGTGGTTCCAGTGGATGGGGCTCGCTACCGCTGGCAGGGCCGGCGCTGGGAGCCCAGTGGCAAGGCCGAGCCCCGCCTGCCTGACCGCGTCTACATTCACCCTGACTCTCCTGCCACCGGTGCCCACTGGATGCGGCAGCCCGTGTCTTTCCATCGTGTCAAGCTCACCAACAGCACGCTGGACCCCCATGGCCATGTGAGGCCCTGGCTGGGACAGGCTGGGGGTTGGGGGTGGGACCCCGGGCGGGGAGTCATCTCGTTTCTTCCCTCTCAGCTGATCTTGCACTCCATGCACAAGTACCAGCCCCGCATACACCTGGTGCGGGCAGCCCAGCTTTGCAGCCAACACTGGGGGGGCGTTGCCTCCTTCCGCTTCCCCGAGACCACATTCATCTCTGTGACAGCCTATCAGAACCCCCGGGTAAGTGACCCTGCTGGAGGGGGTGGGGGGCCCCACCCAGGCCGTGGGAGCTCTGACTCCGCATGTGTGTCCCCAGATCACACAACTGAAGATCGCAGCCAATCCCTTTGCCAAGGGCTTCCGGGAGAATGGCAGAAACTGTAAGAGGTGGGCATTGCTCATTCATTCACTCCTTCCTTCAGCAAACGTCTATGGACGGCCCACTGTGTGTCTGGCACTGTGCTGGAAGCCAGGAACACAACAGTAAGGAAAAACACTTATTCGCTCGATGATCCCACAGATACTTGTCTTAGCACCTGCTGTGTGCCGGGCACAGTTCCAGGCACTGGAGATCCATCATGAAGAAAAGAATTGAAGCCCCTGCCCTTATGGGACTGACACTCTAGTGGGCAGAGTAGACAAGTAAACACGAGAAATAAATAAAATATAATGTGTCAGGGATAAGTTCTGAAGAGGAAAGAAAGAAAGGAAAACAGGAAAGACTGGAGTGGGGTATTTATTAGATTAGAAGCCTGTTCCGGGTCCTGAAGGAAGTATGGGAGGAAAAAGTCCTGAAGGAAGTGGATATCTGAGGAACAGCGTGCCAAGAAGTGGGAACAGCATGGGCAAGGGTCCTGAGGTAGGAGCACACCTGCGGTGCGGCTGGAATGGAAGAGGCGAAGAGGCAAGTGAGAGGCAAAGAGGAGCCAGGCTTTGTTGGACAGTGAAGGTTTATTTAGGACTTTGGCTTCTGTTCTGAGTGGAGCTCTCTCAGTCGAGCTGTTCTTTGCCCTCAAGGGGTGTACAGTCAGGCAGAAGAGACAGCCGTTAATCAAAGGGTCACCCTAACAAATATACAGCAGAACAGTTGACAGATGCTATGAGGGTGGTGGTGTAGTGCCGTGGGAAGTCGGAGGACTTCCTTGAGGACGTGAGACAAGAGCGTGAACTGAGCCAGGGATGAGCTGAACAGGTGAGCAGGGGCAGATGAGAGGATTCCAGAGGATGGCTGCCAGGCAGCCGGTGATGGGGAGGTGGCCTCAGCCCATGCCCTGGCCTTCTAGCTTGGGAAGGAGTTTCCCAAATGCAATGAAGGCAATAGGAAACCACTGGAAAGGTTTAAGTGGAAGATACTTTGCCCTTTCTAGTCCCTTAATTCTCTGGCCTTGAGTTCCTTCATCTGTAAAATGGGTATAATAATGGCACCTCCCTAACAAGGTCCCTGGGAGGGTGAAAGGCCTGGCACCTGGTAAGTGCCATTATTACCATCATCATCATCATCACTATCATCATCATCATCATTGTCACTGTCCTCTAGGGAGCGAGATGCCCGTGTGAAGAGGAAACTGAGGGGCCCAGAGCCAGTGGCCACAGAGACCTATGGGAGTGGAGGTGAGCGTAGTCTCAATAGTGATGGGGGCCAGTCCTCAGATGCTGTTCCTCCTTAGCCCGACCTCTCTCTTCTGCCTTCCCCAGATGCACCAGGGGGCCCCTGTGATTCCACACTGGGGGGGGATGTCCGTGAGTCAGATCCCGAGCAGGCCCCAGCCCCCCGCGAAGCGGCCCAGGCCCCGGCTCCTCCGTGTGGCGGCTCCAGTGCTGAAGCCTACCTTCTGCACCCTGCCGCTTTCCACGGGGCTCCCAGTCACCTTCCAACCAGGCGAGTGGGACGAGGGCGGAGTTGGGCTGTTTCAGGTCGGGGAGCCCTGCATCCTGTCCTGACACCTCCTCTTTACTTCAGGAACCCCAGCTTCCCTGAGGCTGCGGACTCAGGGCGCCCGGCCCCCTACTCGGCCGCATTCCTGGAGCTGCAGCCTGGGCCCGGGGGCTCAGGATACCCAGCAGCTGCACCCCCAGCCCCCTTCGCCTCGCACTTCCTCCAGGGGGGCCCCTTCCCCCTTCCCTACCCCGGCCCTGGGGCTTACCTGGACGTGGGCTCCAAACCTATGTACTGAGCTGTTGCTGGGCCCCTCTGCCTCCCTCCCTGTCCTCGGTCCCAGACCTCCGCTGCCCTTCCCCCAGGCCTGCAGCCCCATCACTTCCACTGGCCCCATCCCCCACACCAAATGGCGGCCCGGGGGGCCTCCCCCACCCCACTTCACACTTTGATTTCACTCCCACCCACCCTGGCTTCAAAGCTCTGGCTAAGCTGCTGGGAGTCCAGCTGGGGCCAGCTTCCCCTTCCAGGCTCTCACCTCGGTGTGAATGGAGGGAGGCTCTGCCTGGCCAAATGGGGCCACTGCCCAGCACCCCCTCCTCCTGGGCCTCAGCCTTGGGCTCTGCAAGTTCTACCCCCTCGCCCCAGGACAACCCACACCAGTTTGTTCTCAGGACCAGAGTATTTTTGTTAATAAAACTCAAAAGACCTCAGTGCTCTGGAAACATTGGCTAATGGTGTTTAGCCCTGGGCAGGGCTGGGTGAGCAAAGGTTTTGTGGGGAGACCCGAGCCCCAATTTACACTTGCCAGTTTCCAGCTGCATGACCTCATGCATGTAAATCAACCGGCTTTGGTGCTGTTTCCTCTTCAGGGAAGTGGGGAAACGTGAATGTCCTGACCCTGTTTTGAGAATTAAATAAGGCTGCTTCTGAGAACCCAGCCCTCTGCCTGGCACGGCGGAAGCCTTCCCGGAAGTCACTGTCACTGAATGCAGACCAGGAGGCTCTGGGGCAGTCAAAGTCCTCAGGTCTACCCCAGGCCCCAAGGCCGGCATCGCTGCTCAATACCAATCGAGTCTGACACAAACCCAAAGACCATTTTTCTCCTTTTATTAGAATTTTTCTTTCTCTCAAAATTTTTTTATCTAAAAACAAACAAAAAAAAAAGGAAAAAAGAAAAACAAAAAATTATTGGAAACATCATGGTTCAAGTGGGGAGAAAGGAGAGGAGCATGGAGCGGAAGCTCCAAGCGTCTCCAGAGAAAGTCCTCACCCTCGAAGTGCCCTCTCTGGGGGGAGAGCAGAGCCGAGACAACCCCCCAACGCCCGGCCTCCGTCTGGAGAAGAGGGCAGAGTCACAGTGGTCCGAGGGCCAGAGGGGCTGGAGGGATCACAGGAAGTAATCGGCCACGGGTTTCTTGGAGGGGATGCCCCGGGTCTCTTGGGGCGCAGCCTCGAAGATGATGAAATCTTTCTGGAGATGCTCATCTAGCTCCAAGATGGCTGCCACATTCCCACAGCTAGAAGCGGAGGGCAGTGGTGTGAGAGGAGTGGGTCAGCCCGGGCCCCCACCCCCACCCCCTGGCCCAGGCAGCTCACCGGTAGCAGTAGTTGGGAGCCGACCACACAGTGAGCACAGTCTCATTGAAGTGCCACTTATAACCTTCCATCACCAGTTGGTGGGCGCGACAGATCATGTCAATATCGTTGGCTGCATTAAACTGGGCCACCACGTCACTGCCAAACAGGTAGCCAGCCCCACGGGGGCTCACGCCCCAGCCTGTTGTGTCTGAGGCAAAGGAAGGTAGGGATGGGGGGAGAGGGTGTCCTCGAGGTTTCTCTGGTGCCCACCGCCCTTCAAAAGAGACCATCCTGTCCCCCTCTCTCAAGCCCCACGGGGCCAGAGCACACGGCCTGTGTTCTGGGGGATCCTGGAGACAGGACAGCAAATGCTGGAGAAAATCAGCTCCAAAGGAGAAAGAATTTTCTGACGGTTGGAGCTATCCCATAACCAGAGTGACCATGTGACTTACAGGCCAAAGAGGTGCACACAAAAGCGAGAGAAGACACTTATAATGACCACATTGGTCCAGCAGGTGACAACAAGGGCTGTCCTGGCCGCCCTGGGAGCAGTGGCCAGGCAGGCGGGCACGGCAGTGAGGGGGCGGAGGCTGTGCGTGTTACAGCAGGAGCTCTGGACTGGTACTTGGGAGACTCGGCGTTCAGTCTTGGCTCTGCTCTGTACCAGCTGGGGAACCCCACAAAATGAGGGACGTTCGTGGGGCTGTCGTTCTCGGAGTGTGAACTCTGCAGAAGCCCCTTCAGGTTCAGGGGGCCAATGATTTCGTCCCAAACAAGCCTCTGAGCGATGAAATACACACCCATCCCCTCTCCGAGCTCACGAGCACCAGCTGCCCACACTCCTCCTCCTCTTTGAGGGTGCCAGGGGGCAAGCCGGCCAAGTGCAGACACCAGTGAAGACCAGCTCCACTCTGCTCTTCCCTAAGCCCGCCTGGCCTGTCTCTTCAAGGCGCTTGCTTTAGCTACAAGACCCCCTCAGTCTCCTGCCACACTAAGGGTAGAGCCACCCTGCCCTGCCTGCCTGCCCTCACCTTCAGGGTCAGACCAGAGCAGGTCACACATGGGCCCGTCATGGGGCACTTCTTGCTTTCGGTCAATCGTCCGGATCTGGTCCAGGGTCTGGATAGAGGGGGAGAGGCCCCCATGCACGCAGAAGATCTACAGGGGGACAAGAAAGGAGTGAAGGCCGGCTGAGCCCAGTGCCTCTTCCCCCGCGAGTCCGATCCCCATGGGACCCGGTAGCCGGCCCACCTTGCCATCGATGATGGCCGACAGGCTGAGGTAGTCAAAGATCTCAGTGCAGTAGCGCCACACGGTCACCGAGCCATATTTGCGCAGACACTCGTCGTAGAAGCCGTAGACCTGGGTGATCTGGCGGCTTTCGTGGTTGCCCCGGATCAGGGTGATTCGGTCAGGATAGCGAACCTGGAGGGGGCCACCGATCCAGGGCTGGGGGCTGGGCTCTGTCCCTCCCTCACAGCCCCACCGGCCCTTCCCAGATCTCCTCATACTTGCCCGCCCTGTCACCTCACCACTACCCCAGCCCAGAGTCATGCCATCTCTTGCCAACCTCACAGGCCCCGGTCCCTCCTCTAGGGGATTTGAGGCTGACCCCTCCCCATCAACTACAACGTATTGGTTCCCCTTTCACCACTAAGTCCTTACCGAGACCCTCAGGTGCTCTGTCATCTGGACTACCGATGGATACCGCACCCAGGTGAACCCAACACCCTGCCACTTTCCGAGCACGGGGAGCCTCTATTCCCTCCCCTCCAATGGCGCAGCTCCGCCTTCTCCTCCAGGAACCCCATCAGATGCCCCCGAGCCAAGGAAAGCTGCTCTGCCCATCCCTGGGCAAGCTGAACACCAGCAGGACGGCTCAGAGCTGGGGGTGGATGGAGAAGGAGACGAGGGCAGGAAGGACACAGGTCAGGCCGGAGGCGGCCCGGGTGTGGGCACCGGAAGCCCAGGTTCCCACCTTAAGTGCCAGCAGCAGGAGGAACGTTTCGACGCTGTAGAAACCACGATCCACAAAGTCCCCCATGAAGAGGTAGTTGGTCTCAGGGACGTCGCCACCCACCTGGGGAGGGAGGAGTGGGGGGAGAAGGGTTTGCTTGATCCTCACCTGTCCCCCGCCGTGGCAGCCCATGTGCCGGTCAAGTTGAGGCCCTTCTTTCACAGAGGGCCCACCAAACAGGAGGCCTCTCACTCACCCAAGTCAAAGCTTCCACTCTCAATTAAAGGGGTCTTCCAGTCACCCCCCAGGTCACCTGTCCCAGAGTCTCCCCACACTCACTCTGAACAGCTCCTTGAGGTCATAGAATTGCCCGTGGATGTCGCCGCATACCTAGGAAGTGAGGAGAGCTGGGTCGGAACTCGCACAGCCGGAGAGCCTCCGCCTCCAGGGGCTGCCCTTCAGAACACCCGCCGCTTTAGTAGCTCCTTATCGCTCCCAGCTAAACCTCAACCTCTCAGGGCCACCAATCTACTCTCCTACCCGGACTTCGTCTGCTCTGGAATCACCCCGCATCCCGCACTGAGTGCCAGCTGTTCTGTGGGCAAGAGCTAAAACTAGGTCTCTCGAGCTAGGCCTGTAGCTTCTGGAGCACCTGGCCCCTTCCTCTCCGTGTTTCCCTCAAGGAACCCGGAATAAAGCTACTAATGACACAGAATACACAGAAATGTGTGGGGTAGAATCACTCACCAGATTCAGAGTCCTTCTGCCCTGACCAAGAGTATCCCCCCATCAGCTCAAAAGACCCTTCCTGTAACATCCATTTCGTATAGCAAAGCTCCCTTGAAGATGGGAGAGGGACACACGGGACTTTCCGGGCTCTCAGGGATGAGGGGCAGACCTCTGTAGCCCACAAGATTAAGGGGAACGGCCATGTGCCTAGGCTCTGGGAGGACACGCGGTACTCACTGTGACTGGCGAGTCCACCCTCTGTACGTTGCTCTCCTCTACCAAGATCTCTCTGGGGATGGGAGAAGACCAGGGTCACCACAGCCAGGCCAGCCCAGCTCAGCCCAGCCCATTTCCTCATCTTTTGGAAGGGAGGATCTGAGGTGGGCCTTGAACCTCTAGGGGGCAGGAGTGAGGTGTGCAATATCCCCAGGATGGGCTGACCGCAGGCCTCCCCAAGGCCAAGAGGCCAGAGCCCAAACTCTTGCTGCGGCATTCAAAGCCTTTCCAAGGAGACAGTGGCCTTTCAAGCCCTGACCCCCCCTGTTGCCCTCTTTCCCACATCCAGTGCTCGTTCCAGAGAACAGACCCGCTCTCCACGCAGAGCTCTCTGCTCATGCTGCTCCCTTGGCCTGGAGCGCTCCGAGACCGTGCCCCCGGCTGAGCCTCCTCTCCGCCCGTCACGGAGGCTTTCCCCAGACTGTCCAAAGGCACCCAGTGATCAACACACCATCAAAGTGATGCGCTTTTGCCTTATTTAGAGGGAGTGACAACTTTGTTCTTTCGTTCCTCCCTGCAGTGGAGTCTACTACTACTCGAGAGCGCGTGACGTGAAACCACTCTGTCAGCTACACACACACAGCGAAGTAAGCGGTGCCACGTTTCCAGATTTCACCCTTGGTGATGATGGCAGCAGTGACCACTCCAGTTCACGCCACACCCCAGGACCGTAGTAAGAGCTTGGTGTCGATGACACAAACCCAACGGCCACCCCCCAAGGCGGGCACTGTGGTGACACCCACTGCTCAGGGGAA